TTTGGTTTTAACAAATAGGGAGGAACTAGTTGAGAACTTGAAAGTGGAAGACAGTATAGGGGACAGTGATCATGAAATAATAGAGTTCATGATCTTAAGGAAAGGTAGAAGGGAGACCAGCACAATTGAGGTTATGGATTTCAGGAAGGCAGATTTTGATAAGCTCAGAGAACTTGTAGGTAAGGTCCCATGGGAAGCAAGACTGAAGGGAAAAACAACTGAGGAGAGTTGGAAGTATTTCAAAGGGACGTTGTTAAGGGCCCAAAAGCAAACAATTCCGCTGTGTAGGAAAGATAGAAAATATGGCAAAAGACCAGCTTGGCTTAACAAGGAGATCTTGCATGATCTCAAAATAAAAAAGGAGTCATATAAAAAATGGAAACTAGGACAACTAACAAAGGATGAATATAGGCAAGCAACACGGGAATGCAGGGGCAAGATTAGAAAGGCAAAGGCACAAAATGAGATCAAACTAGCTACAGGCATAAAGGGAAACAAGAAGACCTTTTATAAATACATTAAAAGCAAGAGGAAGACCAAGGACAGGGTAGGCCCACTGCTTAGTGAGGAGGGAGAAGCAGTAACAGGGAACTTGGAAATGGCGGAGATGCTCAATGACTTCTTTGTTTCGGTCTTCACCGAGAAGTCTGGAGGTGTGCCTAACGTAGTGAATACAAGCAGAGAGAGGGTAAGTTTAGAAGATAGGATACACAAAGAACAAGTTAAAAATCACTTAGGAAAGTTAGATGTCAGCAAGTCACCAGGTCCTGATGAAATGCATCCCAGGATACTCAAGGAGCTGATAGAGGAGGTATCTGAGCCTTTAGCTATGATCTTTGAAAAATCATGGCAGACAGGGGAGATTCCAGAAGACTGGAAAAGGGCAAATATTGTGCCCATCTATAAAAAGGGGAATAAGAACAACCCAGGAAATTATAGACCGGTCAGTTTAACGTCTGTCCCAGGGAAGATAATGGAGCAGGTAATTAAGGAAATCATATGCAAACACTTGGAAGGTAATAAAGTGATAGGGAATAGCCAGCATGGGTTTGTGAAGAACAAGTCATGCCAAACTAATCTGATAGCTTTCTTTGATAGGATAACGAGCCTTGTGGATAAGGGAGAAGCGGTGGATGTCATATACCTAGACTTTAGTAAGGCATTTGATACGGTCTCGCATGATATTCTTATTGATAAACTAGGCAAATATAACTTAGATAGGGCCACGATAAGGTGGGTGCATAATTGGCTGGATAACCGTAGTCAGAGAGTTGTTGTTAACGGTTCTAAATCCTGCTGGAAAGGGATAACAAGTGGAGTTCCTCAAGGGTCTGTTTTGGGACCCGTACTGTTCAATATCTTCATCAATGATGTAGATATTGGGATAGAGAGTACTCTTATTAAGTTTGCAGATGATACCAAACTGGGTGGGGTTGCAACTTCTTTGGAGGATAGGGACATAATTCAAAATGACCTTAGCAAGTTAGAGAAATGGTCAGAGGTAAACAGGATGAGGTTTAATAAGGAGAAATGCAGAGTGCTCCACTTAGGAAGGAACAATCAGTTCCATACATACAAGATGGGAAGCGACTGTCTAGGAAGGAGCATGGCGGAAAGGGATCTAGGGGTCATAGTGGACCACAAGTTGAATATGAGTCAACAGTGTGATGCTGTTGCCAAAAAAGCAAATATGATTCTAGGTTGTATTAACAGGTGTGTTGTAAGCAAAACTCGTGAAGTCATTCTGCCGCTCTACTCTGCGCTAGTTAGGCCTCAGCTGGAGTACTGTGTCCAGTTCTGGGCGCCACATTTCAAGAAAGATGTGGAGAAATTGGAAAGGGTACAGAGAAGAGCGACAAGAATGATTAAAGGTCTAGAGAAGCCTATGAAGCCAGGCTTCATGAACTGGGCTTGTTTAGTTTGGAAAAACGAAGATTAAGGGGGGACATGATAGTGGTTTTCAAATATCTAAAAGGGTGTCACAAGGAGGAAGGAGAAAATTTGTTTCTCTTGGTTTCTGAGGACAGGACAAGGAGTAATGGGCTTAAAGTGCAGCAGGGGAGGTTTAGATTGGACATTAGGAAAAAATTCCTAACTGTCAGGGTGGTCAAATATTGGAATAAATTGCCAAGGGAGGTGGTGGAATCTCCCTCTCTGGAGATATTTAAGAACAGGTTAGATAGACATCTGTCAGGGATGGTGTAGACGGAGCTTGGTCCTGCCTTGAGGGCAGGGGGCTGGACTCGATGACCTCTTGAGGACCCTTCCAGTCCTATGATTATGTTTGAAAATAGTTTCCTTATTTGTGTCTCTGTAGTCACTTCCAGCACTAGGACTTCTTTGCTATAGCACTGTAGTGTCAGACCTACAGAAGCATTGAGGTGCTGTTCTGTTTGGCTTTTTCTTCACTAGGAAAAATTAAATATGTAATTCTACAGTGATGGCAACAGCAGTGCTGCCAGTACAGTTGCACTGATGGAAAACTACTGCTCTGAATTCTGGCCTAAGGTGCATTGCACATTGGCAGGTCTATACTTACCCTAAGATCGATGCTCTGGGGATTGATTTAGCAGGTCTAATAAGGACCCACTAAATTAATCATTGATGGTGCCTCCCCATCAACCTTGTAACACCACAGGGTCATGATGAGTAAGAGAAATCGACAGGAGAATTTTCATAGCTGGACTCGTATCTTAGATTGGCTTATGTTTTGTTAGTCTATAAAATGCTACCAGACCATTTGTTGTTTTTTCTCTGATTGTTTACCCCTGGCATTCAAGGTTGCTTGATTACAATGAAGGCGTTGAAGACAGACTGCTTCTGAGCTTTTGTAGTAGCTGTTAATGTGGAAGCTGAAGAGCCAATGGCATTTCTTGAAAATAGAGGTTAATTCCTAATTTAGAATTCTAATCCAAGAGTCCCGCTCTGAAAAACAACTTCTAATGTCCAAAGCTGGGTATGAGCTATTGTTGAGTGAAATTTGGAGCTGTAATAAAGTTGTTTCCATGTTCACCTTAGAGATATTATTGATGTACTGCTGCTCACAATACTAAAAACATTCTCCTCTTGCTCTTTCTTTATTTTTTAAGCCCTGATATTTAAGTATATATACACTAATAATTTACAGGGAATTCCGCTTATTTTTATTGCTTTCTAAGAAGAGCCAGAAAACATCCCTACACAGCTGTCTAAACTTGAATCATTTTTGGCTAAAACGTTCTGTGACTGTTCTAGGACCTCCTAGAAAGAGGTGTACACACTTACTATCTGCCCATTTTCACACGTGGCTCAAGGTGGCGATACCAGACAAAATACATAATGGAAAATTCCAGTCTTACATAATCCCACTACAGTGTTTAGGTGGACTTGTCCCATGTGCACATGCACACAGAGTTCAGTTAGTGGCTTGGGAATTCCTTGGATATTAAACTCAAGCTCATTGTTCTACTGAATGTGTTTATTACAAATTTCAACTTGAAATACTGCTTTGTTTGTGCAGCTCTTTTCTAAACTTTACATTGCTTGCCTGTATTATGGACAGTAGTCTAACAGTATTCAGTGAGAAGCAAAGATTCAACACAAAGGAAAATTATTCAGAAGGGATCATGGTGAACTTTAAGGATCAAATACAAAAGTAGGCAGATTTTATGTAAGAGGAAAACATGTTGTATTCCTAGTCTCCTCCTCTGCATGACACTAAACTATTTTCTAATTATATTTAGTGGTCTGGGTGCTTTTTTGGGCATTCAGTTTGTGAAAGGCTGCCATTTTTATAGGCTGCCATTTTTTATGGCAATGCTGCTTCTAGTCCTTTAGAGCATACCTGCCATATATTGACAATAGCTTTCATGTGTGTAATTTATGAATCTCTCTTGGAGTGAAAGGTACTGTACAAATGTGGGACACTGCTAATATTTAATACTAAGCCCAGAAACTACAGCAAGATTCATGAAATTTGTTGCCGATGAGGATGGCTTTGTTTTTTTCATTGCTAGAAAACAAAGCAGGTATGGCAACAACTATGTATGAACTGGAATCGCCAAGATCATATTTAAAACTCGCTAACCAATGTGAAAAAAGTAACTTTAAAAGGTTAAACTCAATTCTATTTTGTTGCCAATCCTCCATAGCGAAAAGTGCTAACAAATTGCCAAGTGCCAATATCCAGTTTAAAACTGTTTTTCCCCATAGGATTGTAGATTAAAATAGATAACTGCACTGAGTCCAATATAGTGGATTTGCTATTATAATGTAACTTTCCAGGACTATCCAAGACAATACTTCACAGCAATGTAGCCTATTTGGAGTTAATAATGATCTATATGCCCAACATGTGTATTTAAACATTTCTATTTAAGAAAGCAAATTATACCTGAGAATAATTGGAGCCTATTCAGTCAATCCTTAACTAACCACAGACTAAGTCTTTTTAAAGTTAAAAGTTTTGCCTGCATATGAAATGCCATATTATAGCTTGTAAATTCTTTTTAACATCAAAGGCACCATATAAAGGTAAAATCCTTATAAGATATTTGTTTATGGCAGAAATATTTCCTTGAAATCATATCTTCAGGTACTTCTAATTAGTCTCCTGTCTTATAACATTAAGAAGACTTAGAGTGTCTTTCAACTTGAAGAACCCCAAAGCATTTTATGTATGTTATATAAGTTCTGTTGAGATACAGATCACTCAACAAAATGCATCTTTTTTAAAGAGTGTAAGAGCAAACATTCTATGCCAACAACCCAACATACTTAAAAAACCCATCACCATACCCTCACATTATGAGATACAATTGAAAAAATACAAAGAATTATTGACAAGCAGAATATCATTGAAAGATTTATTATTTGGCTGAGACACTTGTGAAAAATGAAAATGATTGTTAGTGACAGTGAGTGGCAAAAGCCCTGGTTTAATATCTATCTCACGACCCCAAAAAGAATCAGTATAATACTGTCCAGAAGTCAGACATTGTTTTACTTGAAATGTCACATACCTGATGTCACAGAAGAGAGTTCAAGTATTTCGCTCTGATGGTAAACAATTTAGAGTTCAAGGAAGCAGATGTCAGAGACATCGTTTTCTAGAAAAAATAAGAGAAGACAAAGCTGTTAAGAGTTATTCTATGTTTAATTT